CCAAGTGGGCCCAGGGGATCAGCAGTTGGCATAATGGCTATGTCGCTGGACTCCCATGTGGTCGACCATGGTTCGAGTCCTGGACCCGGTGGCTTAAACTTGCACTGGGCGTGTGTGAATGCATGCCCAAGACCTTGAGAGGAGAATGGAGGAGAAGGGATTGTGGTGTGGCCATCCCCCTGGGGGGTGATTTCTCGCTTTCTGCCTCTCTGTCTTTCTGGTGAACACATGGGCCCTATAGCAAAAACAAAACAAAACAAACAAACAAAACTCTAAAATAAAATTTAAAAACCTCCCAAGTGGGCCCAGAATGGCAGTCACCATGTGCACGTCTTAGGGAAGGAAATGAGGCTGCTGCAGTGAAGGGTAGGACGTGTGCCCCCAGGCAAACCTGTGCCCTGTGTAGCAACTGCGCCAGCCACACTGCTAAAATGCATGTGGCTTAGAATTTCTGTGCCTCTTGACAGACTTCAATGACTTGGGTTGATGTGCATTATTTTAAATTCTGTGCATAAAAATTAGACTTCTGAAAATATGCACTTAAAATCTGCATAAATTTTTATAAGAGGTGAACTTTCCCCTATGAAACCCAGCATAGCCCATAGCCTATCAGATATTCACTACATAGCTGTTAGTAAATGAAAGCACCTAAGGTGGTGATGAGGTGCCTATAGTACTCCTCAGAAGCCAGTTTTGCCATATTGGAAGGATCAGAGTAGTCTATCCTGGGGCACTCTGGGTACACAGTGACTTTCAGATTAGAAGATAATGTTTACTTTGAACAGAGAACAGACAGGTCACTTCTTTTTCTAGGTCTGGCATCCCAGCCCCACTTGCAATTCATATAGCGAGGAACGTAAGAGCTTCCCGGTTATGCTGCCTCACTGCAGTAATGACTTCTGCCCAGCACCCGAACAGTCAGCCAAGGAAACTCAGCATGCAGAAGCAGCTCTGCTACTGGAGGTTTTAACATCCTAATTAATCAAAATGTCCTTTGCACCAGAAATGAAAAGTGTATATAATCCTGGCTTTGCTTCTAACTCTAGAATGTGAGCAATAGTAAAAAAAAAAAAAAAAAAAAAGAAAGAAAGAAAGAAAGTGAATATTCTTTGGAGGAAGGTCAATTCAACAAAATAAGGAGGTTCTATGAGTCTTTATACTCCAGCTCTTAAAACATCTGCAGATTGGTCCAGCACATGGCATGGTGGTTAAGGTGGTGGACTTCTGTGGGAAGCCAAAGAGGAGACATGAGAAATGTGCAAGACGTGACCACCAGAATAAGACCAGGGTCTTTGTCTGTGTATAAAGTAATGGCAGTAAAGTACTCTTAGCTGACCAGTATTGACTGGCAGTCTTCCCGTTCTATGTAGACATTTAGGATGTCTCTCTTTTCCTGTTTTTCTGGATACTTGTGCTTTCTGTGGTTTGCTATTTGTGGAATTGGTTAGCTGGAATAATTTTTTTGTTACCATTTTTCCTCACAGTAGGTATTTCTTTAGGGTCTTATGGCCCTTAAGAAATACATAATGAAGTGTTTAATGATTTCATTCAAGGTGCTTGGACGTCTGGAGTGCACTCAAGTTTCCAAGGCCAATGTGCTCAACTCTGTGTTCAACCCGAGGATTCAATGAGGCCCTGGACCAGCGTGCTGAGGGACCTGGTCATGGATGGATCATGAGTCTCTCTGGCAACATTCAGAATGGAGTGTTCTTTCTCCAACATGTTAAATCGTTACTTTTTGTTTGAATCTATTAATGCATTTGCTAAATAGAAATACCCAAGAATGGATGATTTATTAAGAATGGAGACTTGTTTGGCTCACAAGTCTGGTGGTTGGAAAGTCAAAAACATTGGAGGGCATCTGATCTTATGTCACAGCATAGCTGACAAGTAGAAAGGAAAGCAGGCCCGTGTAGAGAGAGTTTCCTGTGGGCAGACAGTCAATTTTCTTTTGTAAAACCCACTCTTGCAGGAACTAACTCAAGAGCAGGAATTTTTGCCCTCCCATGAGACAGCATTAATCTACTCATGAGGGTTGTGTCCTCATGATCCAAAAACTGCCCTCAGAGCCCCACTTCCTGGGGTCCCACCACTTCTCAACACCATTACATGGGGACTATGCTTCTAGCACATAGACCTTTGGTGACGAACCATAGTTCCTTTCCTGTGGGGACAATAAATAACGTGTTAGAATCCAGCTGATTTTTTTGGTGTGATGGAAGTCTCAGTGCTAAGTCTACCTGTCCTTAAACCTTGGAAAACCCCAGCCAGGGAAAGGCCTGCCTCCCAGAGAGTCCATGGGAACAGCGAACCAGCCAGCTGTGGACAGCATATGATGTAGGGACTGTGTCTTTAGTGAAATGATCATACAGACTGTGACACTGTGTACAGCACTTTCTGCTTCTCAATTCCGCAGATTAAAAGAAACAGACAAAACAAAAGTATTTGGAGACTAAAAGATTTTAAATCTCCTAAGAATAACAGGAAAATAGGCCCTTGATTTCTGCTCTGTCCCTCTCACTTGTCCTTTCCACTTTGGCTCTACCTCCACAGAAAGAAAAAAGTCCTTTATGGAAGTGTTCTTTAAAAATATGGCTGTTTCTTCAGGAAAGCCTCACACAACAAAACTGAAGCAAGTGAGTCATAAATGGTAAGCCAGAGTCTGCATGACTGGGCCTCGAGTTATTTTTAATCCCACTAAAAACAGAGCCATTTCACAAATAACCTTCTCTTCAATGAAAGGGGTAGCAATTCTACTGTGTTTTTTGTATCCCAAGAGGGGGGAATAATAATAAAAAAAAAAATTACAATAGGTCTTGAAACCCACTTATGTATTGTTCTCTCCCACTGTATGATTTGTGACCGTCACTGACTGAATGTCATCAATTTAGCCAGCACTTACTGAGAAGTGACTCTGTTTGAGGCTCTGTGCTCCTGTGGTGACTTTTGCTGGAGAAGAAACGAAATGTTCACAAATGGCTTTGCTTTGGTAATGTCTCCGTACCCTGATTACCTATTTTCATGGCCTATGTTCTGAATATGTGTGGCACTGCCATTTCATGCTACATCTTCTTCTCTTGATTTCAATGTTTTCAAGTCTTCTCAGTCCCTCTTCATCTCCGTGTCTTTAGCCCCTGTGTTCCTCAAAACAAAAAGGAAAAACAAGAGAAGCCCAACCATGATGGACAAGACAACTGTCTATGCCTGTGTGGGAATAGGAGCTCCTCGAGAGTAGTCACGTGCTGTGGCTCCTCTGCTCTACTATGTTGTGACTCTTCGTGCTTTTAGTATTTGGATTTCATACACTGATTTCTGCAGAGTGCTTTCTCTAGCTATTAGTTTCCCTCCTCACAAATTGCTGCTGCTTCTCCGATTTTGTATAAAGGTAAGAGATGAAGCACAGAAAGGTAAGATTTCCCAGGGACTGCCCAGTGGGCTATCGGGAGTCAGAAGCTGGAAGAAGTTCACTGAATGGTCTGGGTTTGCTCTATCTAATATGGTAGCCACCGGCCATGTGCAGCCTTGGCAGCACATTGTGTAGAGGAGCAATTACAATGCAGAGAGTGCAATTTGAGGGGTACTGTAATATGCCCTGGATTTTAATGATTTAGTATACAAAAAAAAGAATGCAAAACATCTCCTTAATAATTTTTTTCTTCTTCTTCTTTTTTTTTAATTTGCTGGATAGAGAAAGTAAGAAAGCACCCTATTCCCCAATGGGGAATGGTCATGCCACAATTTCTTCTCTTCCATTTCTCCCTCCTTTGGGGATATTGGGCATGCATGCACACATGTCTGGCATGTTTCTCAAGTCACTGGGTTTGGGACTTAACTACACAGCTGAACAAGTAGAATCCGGCTTCCTTAACCACCATGTCATGGGCTGGCCTCTTTACATGCTAAACTTTTTGGATATTGTGTTTAACAAAAAAACTCTTAAAATTAGTTTTCATTCTTTTTATTAATTTATTTTAAAATGTGCATTTCTTTCATGAGAGTGATAGAAAGAGGAAAAAGAGAGAAAGACAAGCATCTTCAACAGGGTCTCATGTTGCCACCCTCTCCCCGCAATCCCTCCCAGCCAGCCAGGATCATGGGTCAGTGCTTGGTGCCAACAGGTTAACCAGGGAATTGAACCTGCAATCTTACATATGGATCCAGCATCACTTGAGCAATACGGTACTGCTGCGCCTCTGAGCTAGCCATTCATGTTATTTTAAATGTGGCCACTAGAAAAAACTTCATACTAGTAAGTAGCTAGCACTCTGCTTTTATTGGACAGCATGGGTCTAGGAGAGTGCTGGGCTCATAGCCTCTCTTAAGACTTTCCCTGATGCAGGAAGAGGCCAGGTGGCTGGCTTAAGCCAACATTCCTCCTGCTGAACTAACGATAATGACACCAGGTGACTTGTTTTCTACCTAGCCTCAGTAACCCCAAGGATGGCAGAAGACATGAATGCTTGAGATGATGATGGACAGGTCTACCTGAGTGTCTATCTTGGCTCTATAATTCACTAGCTGTGAGACTTTGAGCAATACATTTGTCTGGGACATAGTTGAAGCTCAAAAAGTATGTTAGATGGTTAAATGAATAACCAACTGTGCGCATGCATTAGGAGGGTAGGAGTTTTTTTTTTTTTTTTCCCACTACAAAAACTAAGAATAACCTTCAAAACTAGGCTGGGAACCATTCAGATTTAAAGACACTTTCTCTAACAGTGTCACTGCCTGCCTCAAAGTCACTTAATATTAAGGGAGTTTGTAGCAGTCTCGTTGCTCTGTCCTTGCTGTGGCTTTGCAGGGTCAAAGTTAGGTAATAAGACTTTTGGAGTCTCCAGACTCCCTATCACCATTTCCCATGGATTCCGCCCTAGTCATCATGTAACAGTTCACCTCCTCCAAAGCCCAGCTGATGGGTTTTATGCTCACAACCAGGTGACCTTCCTACCCCAGACATAGTCCCTCATTCAGGTAGAAGGGAATGCATGGTCCCTCTCCACTCAGGCCTGCCTTCCTCCCTCTGGCCATATGCCTTTCCCTTCCTCCTCCTTTCTGCTCTTCCCACCTGCTTTTAACCCTACAGGCTGAGCTGCTCCTCTGTGTCCCATGGACCCCGTCCTCACAGCTTGCACACAGTGTCCCCAGGCTGTGTTCAATCCCCAGCTGGTCACCAGAGACGTCTGTTTCTTTTCCTGCATGTCTCTGTCTCTTCCTGGCCTCATCCCAGGGACTGAAGCCTGCTTCCTCCCGCATCAGGGGCTGTCTCTTCTGTCCTCAGCTGCTTCTCCAACCCAAGCTGACTGGCGAATGGCATAGTCCTCCAGGCTTCTCTGCCTGGCTGCCCTACATAGGCTTTCTCAGGGACTTACTGCTAACACAACTGAATCCTGATGGAGTAAGCCATGTAAGAAGCAGAGGCAGGGGCAAATAATGCCTTCCTAGAGCAAGAATCAATAGGCTGCTCTATGAAGGAATTCAGCCTTCAGCTTTTATTCCCAAGGGCAGGGTTTTACTGAAGTTCTAGCTTTTGATCCTGTTTCAACAAATAAGCTGTTTTTAAGGGGTTGCCAACCCCAGGAAGTCTGTCCCAAGGGTTCTCTGAACTCAGAGGCTCAGGTTTCAGGTATAGAAGCCCTGTCTGGAACACTCTTTATGCCTGACCATGTTACTGTCTGTGGCCCTCCCTCAGAGTCAGGTGGTGAGTCACACCTCCTCAGGGCTGCCCTCTGAGGAGCTGACAATGTTATCTTTTATTGAAGTCATTTACTTTTCAGTGTGTGTTAGTGGGGTACAAACTCAAGGGCAGTCACTTGCAACTCACCCTCAGAGTTTCCCCGGTGTGGTAAAGACCTGCTACCTGCAGCACAGTACATGTGCCCAATACATGATGGGACTGTTGGCCACCTCGGGGATTTTACTGCAGAGACAAACAATGCAGTCTGTGCCAGTGAAAACAACGAGTTTCCACCCTGCAGTCTCTCATTTGCCAAATGTGCACATTACTGAAAGGCAGGAAATCCTTTGTGGTAGGGAATCTAACTCACTCCTCAATCTGTTACTCAAGGAGCAGCTACCTCCTGGCTTCATTTTAACGCAACTGCAAAGAAAGAAAATTCATATTAACTTTTGATATATTAGTTATCCAGTAAAAGACCTCAGTGCAACTTGTTTTTTTTTTTTTTTGGATGGCTAAAGGATGACCTTTTCATTTAATATCTGCTTCACACAGCTCCAGACATCATTAATTAACTTCTTGGATTGAATACTACAACCCAATCACTTAGCTTGTAGTTTTGTATCCTCTGCAAGATTGTCTTTCTTCACTTGTACAAGTGAGACCAATAATGGAATGAACGCTAACAAAGCAGGCAGCCTTCTACCATAATGCCCTAACTATTCAACATGTGCCGGCAGGAGAGGAATGAGCTGTGTATGATTATCAGAGTATCTTATAGATTCGACCTTTTCTTTAAAAGTTATTAGAATTAGAAAAAAAAAAAAGGAACAATAAATTGCACCAACTTTTAAGACTACCGACTTGTGGGGACTAGCAGATGGTGTAATGGTTACATCGTTGGACTCCCATGTAGTTGACCACAGTTTGAGTTCCAGACCTGGGGGCTTAAAACTCACAGCAGGAACATGTACATGCATGCCCCAAAGCCCAAGAGAGACTACAAGAGAAGGGTTTGTGGCATGGTTACCCTCCCTGTGGGAGGTAATTTCTCACTTTCTGTTTCACTCTGTCTTTCTGGCAAGTGCACGTGCCCTACAGCAAAAGTCTCCCTCTCTCTCTCTCAAAAAAAAAACGCTCCCTTCCGCCCCTGAAAAAAAAAAAAAAAAAAAAAAAGAATGTTGACTTGTTCCAGAGTTGGATAAAACATGCAAATGACTCCAGGCTCTTTGGTACACGGTTCAGGCCTTGTCAGAAACTCTGTTCCAGGCCTCACAAAAGCTATTCTGTTCAGTCATCTACTTTCTCTCCTAAAGTGAGTATCACCTGATACCAACATGCACAGATAATCTACCTGACTTTTCCAATTTATCAACGTTCAAGAGACTAGGAAGCTTGTAATGTTCTCAGCGTGTGTGTGAGAGAGATGTAAAATGATTGTATTAATATGTAAACCAGAAATCACACACACAAAGAGATATTATAATTTAACTTAAAATTATATATTAAAGTTTCTTATTTATATAAATATATCAAAAGATGAAGGATTTTAAAATAAATATTAATAAATATAACTGATAAGCAGCTGCTATTTTTTTAAAAAGATTTTTGCCATAGGGCATGTGCATTCACCAGAGAGAGACAGAGAGAAGGAAAGTGAGAACTCTACCCCCCTAGGGGAGATGGCCACACTGTAATTCTTTTTCCTCATTCTCCTCCCTGGTTTTTGGGCACACATGCACACATGCCTGGAGTTCGAAGCCTACATGTCTGAGACTTGAACTGTGGTCAGCCATGTGGGAGTCTGGTGCTTTAACCACCATGCCATGTGCTGACCCCTACAACTGCTTCTTAGTAAATACCCTGGACCTATCATATCAGAACTCCAAATAACAACCAAGGGGGCAATTAAGGAAATAGGTTGAAGGTTTTATCGTCTCAGCAGAAAGAAGATAATTTCCTTGGTCTTTTACTTCTATACATGGACAGCAATATGAAACAGATGAGGCATCATGTAAAAGGAGTCTCAAGTTATTCATGTCAGAAAGAAACACAACTTGTCATAAATTAAGGCCTTGGGTTCCTATGTAAAAGGGGTTCTTTACTTGTAATGATACAGTGAGCCTCTTTGGCAAATGAATGATCCTGGCATGCAAAACTGCTTTGTATCGCTGTGGAAAATAACTGCATTTGGAATCAGTAATTTACTTTATGCAGTTACTTTCCAGTTGAAGATACTGTGGAAGTGATTTTGCTAGAATGAAGTGAATGCCCAAGGGTTATCCAGTCATAGGAAAACCACCTCACTGTTAATAAATTAGAGAAGTGGGCCAGCAGGTGGTGTGGTGATTAAGGTGCTGGATTCCACATGGGTGATTGTGAGGTTTGAGTTCTGGACCCGTGGCTTGAAAAACACTCTGGGTACTTGTGTGTGCCCAAATTCCCAAGAGGAGAATGGTTGAGAAGGGATTATGGCATGAAAATCTCCACCGGGGGTTGATTTTTCACTTTCCCTCTCTCTGACTCTCTGGTGAGTGTACATGCACTATAGTAAAACATTTGAATAAATAAATCAACTAGAAAAGTAAGGTAGCAGTAATGACACTTAAAACAATAACAAAACTATTTTCTTAATGATCAGCTACAAAAGGCAAGCTGCTAATATTTGTGTGATTGTGTGAGTGGGTGGGTATTTAAAAAACTGTTAGAAAATAAAAGCATTTGGAAGAAGACTGATTCAGGTAAGCTGTCACCACACTCGGTTCGCATTACTTGAAGGGTATTATTTAGAAGAGTTTTGCAGAGGTTCTACTAAACCATTTGAAAGAGAAAACATTGAGCACAAGATCGAGTAGTGAAAGAACACGATGGCAGTTATGAAAACTTTGTTTAAAAGAAGTGAGAAACAGCAAGTTTCTGAGGCCTGACAATCCCTCTGGCTTCCTATACAATCTGTGAATCTTCAGGGGGAAAAATTTCCCCTTACTTTTTAGTCTTCATTTAGGTTGATATCCTCATACTAAATACTCCTCAATTATACAAGGAGACTTCAATGTGTCAGATTTTATTCTAGTCAAGGAATAGCAAGATCATATGAACCTAATTTTTAAAGTTTATTTATTTATTTAATTATTCCATGAATGAGAGAGAGAGAGACAATACTTCCAAAGGGTTTTGATGCCCCAATCCATCCCCAGCCCTCAGCCAGCCCTGGATCATGGGCACACGTGTGCACAGTGTTCTCAGGTAGGCCTCTGGCCTGCCATACAAAGCCTTAACATGTGGAATTGCTTCACGGAGTGTCATGTTTCACACAGGACTTGAACTGTGAAGTTGGACATGTGGGATCCAGCTGCCTTAACCACCACACCATTGGCTGGCTGACCATGAAATTTTTATTTTTTGGAGAGGTTTTTGCTATAAGGCGTGTGAGCTCGCCAAAAAGACAGAGAGAGACAGAGAGATGGAAGGCAAGAAATCACCCCCCAGGGGAGATGGCCACACTGCAATCCCTGCTCCTCCATTCTCCTCTCAGGATCTTGGGCACACATGCACATGCGCCCGGCGTGAGTTTAAGCCACTGGGTCTGGGACTTGAACCGTGATTGGCTACATGGAAGTACAGCAACATAGCCATTACGCTAACTGCTGATCCCACCATAAAATGTCTTTAAAAGCCATGTATGAAAGTATTAGGACATACTGTTGCCATTTGATGGGGAATGCAATGATAAATAATTGCCTGATGGTTTTGATGAATCCCATTATTGAGCTTCACCTTAGTTTAGAATACTCCCCACCTTAAAACAATGGTTACAAATTTTATATGCCACAGAAAAACGGCTTTTCCTTCATGCTTTATTTTTAGTTGGTTCCCCTAAGATTTTCAAAACTGAAGATAATGACAGATGAATATTAATTCCAAAGAAAATGTTAAACATACTTATTTATATAACTGTAATAATGCAAGAAGTCTTTCGTTTAACTGAATATTTGTGGGTAAAAAATCTTTCAAAATTTTTTAGAGGCAATTTCACTTCAGATTTTGAACAGAAAAGAGTGCCCCCTTCCCTCATCTTAATCTACTATTCTGTCAAAGGAAGCCCTTACTGTTTATGTTCCTATTCATTTTTTGGTGACAAAATTAATTGATATGCGAGAATAATTTGCATTCAGAGTGAATCTGAACCTTGTTTCTAAATTATTTTGGACCTAGGTTTTCTTGAATCATGGATGATGATCCAGGTTTTTTAAAGAGAATATTTCTCAGGAGGGATAATTTTTTATAGGTGTGGATTATTTGTTAAAATCAAACTGGTCAATTCTAGGTAGGGAAA